GCAGGAACTTCTGCCCAGAATGGCAACTATCACATTGTAATTCAGCATTTCATGAGAGATTCTGTTCAAACATGAAGGCACCTGCTAATGTGCAAAAATTGTACAAATGGGGCTTAACGCATTATTAGAACCTGGTAGATAAAAGCCAACATTCACATTTTTTTTCCCCTCCACTCAAGTTTTTTTCATGGTGTAACAGCATTATACTTGTTAGAGATCACAGCAAAAGCAGCAAATGTGAAAGCAACAACAAAAACTTGTTCAGGAAGCAGGCAACTGCCAGGTTTCAGAGATGCCAAGTTGTGAAAATTACCTAAAAAGATGAGTACTGTAAATAATGGAGAACTCCAGGCAAAAAAAAATAAATAAATAAAAATTCACATGGACATCAATATTGAAGCTATCAATGTGACAGGGGAAAGGAAAGAACATGTTCTCCTGCTCTACAGCCTTGCAAAATTAACCAGAAGAAGGGAGGGGGGGTGGAAGGAGTCAGGAAAAGGAAAGGAAACCTTTAATGGAAACAGATGGTGGGTAATCTAAACTAAATGTGTCACCCTGTGCCAGTAATTATTTATTATTTTAACTTTTAATGATACAAACATTTGTAACACATAAGCAACCAAAAAAGATCCTCAGTTAAGGACCTCATTCTATCTTAAGTTCGCTGTACACGGTGCATCTTGGCGGTTGCAAGGAAGGGACAAAATATAGACACCACCCTTGTAACGTCTAGGCAAGGCACTTGGAGGTTTCCTTCAGTATTCTCACTGTAATAAAAATGTGTAGCCTACTAACGACTTATATTGGGACTTGCTTAACCTTATTTCAAGTGCATAATTTATGTATGGAAAATATTCTCTCTCAAGCTTCCAACTGTTCTCCAACATGTGCCCTTGAACTCAAGATTCATTTAAGGATGGAAAGCACTGAAACAGGATTCAAGTGATTTTTTTTTTTTTTTTTTTTTTTAATGACACCAAAGGATTTCCAAGGTAGGCTGCCCTTACGGAGGAGATGATGGGGTTAAGTCCTCAAGTGACAGTCAGTCAATAACAAAGTAGTTTGACAGGCTCCCAAAAAGCAAAGCTCAATAGCCCGCACATCTCCATCTTTAGCACCTTAGTTACGTGGAACCCAACAGCATATTGCAATATCTAGGCACTATCCAATTCAGGTTTTTAGCCAAAAACAGTAGCTGCCAGTAGGCAATACTATAAATGGGTAGCTATGAGGATTAGAATACAGTTTTGGTGAAATGGTCTATGACAGGGGTTTTCAACCTGTTTTTGGTTGGTGTACCCCCAGCGGCCGGTCAAGAAGAAAGGGAGTCCCTGGCAGCCGATCAACGAGGGAGGTGGGGGGTCCCTCGTGCACAGCGGCGAAGCCAGAAACAGTGGCAGCAAAACCGCAAGTGCCGGTGGCAGAACAGGGAGCGCTCTGCGCCACTGCCACATACCCCCTGGGAGCTTCCCAAGTACCCCCAGGGGTACACAACCCCTGGTCTGCGATTTCAATTCTGTATGCCCCAAGCAACCAGCTGGCTGTTATTGCAGCTTATTGCCTCAGGAGTGACAAAGCAGTTGCTAGAAGTTTACTCAAGGAAGAATTAAGAGAAAGAAAGACTAGAGGCAGAGGTGGGGGGTGGGTGGAGCAGGGTTGGGGGGGGATCACAAGAAGTATTGCTTACCAGTTTGAAGTCTTGAATGCTGCAGATGAAGTATGGGGTGTTCGGCCGGCGACTTTCAATATACACGCAATCTTTAAAAAGAAAGATTTTAAAATAATGGCAATTAACTTCTGTGCTTTAAAGCAAGAATACAAAACAGGTTCTACAGAAAACAGCTTAGACTGGGAAAAAAAACCCCATAATGCTCATTAGCATAACATGTAATTTATTTCAAGCTTCATCTAAAAATAGAAGCTAGATGCTTTATTATGATAAGTAAAGAAATAGATGCATAAAAATTAACTTTGATTTGAATGGACATTTGTTAGGAAAACAAATGAACTCATATAAGACTGTTTGGAATCTAGCTAGTATAATGCCCGGGTCATAACCTGTGAACCAGACCAACACAAGACAGGAAACTAAGCGAATCCCTTGTGGTTCACCCACTATTAAAAACCTAACACAAGCGTATTTTCTTTTCTAATTGTAAAGAAAACCAAGACAACCAATCATAGCTGGAATGCAGTAAACTAAATTAGATTTCCTCAGGGAAGAGCAGACCTTCCTCAAATTACGTTTGACATGACAGTGGCTGAGTAATTATTTGTGTTTGCTTTTGACAACTGGACTTTAAAAGGTTGCTGTAAAATGAGGTCTGTTGTGTTACACACACAATCCTGGCAAGAATCACAGCAAAAGCATTGACTGAGGGGGAAAAAGTACAGCGCTAAATGGAGAAAGAACTGCCTGATTAATGGTAATGACTTTAGAAATGGGAAAATCCACACAGCTTGCTAGAAAGCAGAGATGTTGTTCCCAAAGCCAAGCAAATATTTCATGGAAAGTCACTATGCTCTTTTCATTTATACTCCCATGGATAACTACTCGCTCAGATGCTGGAATATGCTATACACATCAGCTGCCCTATCTATCACTCTCCACAAAATTGCATGCGCTTCTACAAAAAAAAAGTAGGTCTTGCAGAAAAAAAACCCCAAAAACCTCAGGTGCTGAAAGATAAAAGCAGTGTTTTTTCCACTGCCTTCAAAAGCTAATAACTGTAAAAGAAAAATACAAGAAAAAAAGCAACAGCTCTTTTTAGTTTATGTGCTTAACCAATAGCTGGGTTGGGGGTAGATTGTCATAATAATACATATTTCACAGTGATGCAGAGCCATTCTTGCTGAAGGACACGGGGGTTTCATAAATACTACTGGTTTCTAAATAACCAAGTGGTGCTGAGGAATTCCTTCTCTTCCCAATGAAATGCAGCGACTTCGGAGGGGGGCGGGAGGAAGATCAACAGCACCCTACAGAAGCACTTCTAAACTGCAGCTGCAGGAAGCATCTAAGTCAGGGATTGTCAACCCATGGGATTCGGTCCACAGAGCCACTGGATTCAACCGGTGGATGTCTTGCTTTGGAGGACTTTGGCGGCCACCTCTCCTCCCACTGCTGCAGAGACCAGAAGGAACGCTGGCCAGGACGTAGCGCCTGCCCGTCCGCATCTCATCCAGGGGGAGTTACTCCAGCCAGAAAAGCTTGCCTACACATGGTCTAAGTAGCTAGAACACAATTATCTAAGCTGAAAGGCAACGGATGACAGTTTTTAAGGGTCTCTACTACTTCTGGGGTATATTCCAGGACTGAAAGTGGTAAGGAGCCCAGTTTTATCATCTCGCTCAAACTGTGGTAATAGGGAATTTTCCACTGCCTAACCAACTATTTTTCCCATGTATACCCTAAATATTCCCAAAACTTTGGTGTCCAGACTACCACTCAACATTTCCAGGCAGATTACACATGGGCCTAGGTAGAGAACCGCTCCCTCCCCTACATATCAAAGCCAATTTTAAAAAAAGCACCAGTTGAGAAAGGAAGTGTTACATGGGGTTAACACATTTCCTGTCGGCTCTACCAGGCCCGGATGCATGACTCAATCTAGGCAAAACCTGTCTGATGAAAAGCAACCTTTTTGGTTGTGGGTTGGAGGGCAAGGGAAGAGATGCAGGGCAGGAAGGGGACAGTGATAGCACTGGCTGCTTTCCAGGGTATGATGGAAATTAACCTCCACCAATTCGTCAAGCACTAAAGCACAATGAGCGGAAGCTGAACTGCATGCTCAGCTCAGCTACAGAAGGCAAGAAGTAGGTTTCTTAGCCTCCTGAGCCCTGAATACAACAGCTGTATTTCATCTAGAGTGGAAAAGACCCGACTCCAGAAGGTTGCAATTCAGGGTTGCATCCAAACCCATGAAGGATTAAATGCACAGAGTCACCTTCCCTTATGCACTGCAAGTAACTTCCAAGCTGGCAAGTGCCACTCATAGCGGCCCACATCCCTAAAGGACTTGTATGGTATCAAACAACTCAATCACTTTGATGGTCAGAGACTACCTATAACAACCTCCAGCCACAGTGAGAGCTCAAGTGTCCAGGACCCTAGGCAGTTTTATCTGAGAAGTGTTATTCAGATTAAAAAAGAAACCTAAGCCCCTTTAAGCCTCGAAGTTATGGACAGACGGTTTTCTTCCTTTCTAAGACACTTTTCTTCTTTCCTAAATGCTGCGTTGAATCTGCATGAAAAATGAAATCCACTCAAGGAAGATGGAAGTCTAGGTTTGCAGAACAAAGAGAAGGGATGGGCTGTATCAACAGCGCAGCAAACAAAACCAATGGTGGCTGGTTAAATCCTTCGAGTGATAGCCCCCCATCGAGGAATAGCCCTGTATCTGGACTGGCGGAGGGGAGCAGCCTTCCTCCGTTTCCTTAAATGCTTATGCCTTGTTACAGAACAAAAAATCACTTCCTGC